ATTCCACAAGGTGCTGATAGGTAGTCTGAGGTATCTGGTACCAAGCGCTTACCAACTGGTCCTGCAATTCCCTCACATTGCGAGGGGGTAGCGTGGCAGCATGAATTTGGTTTTCCAAGTAGGACCACAAATGCTCTATTGGATTAAGGTCAGGTGAATTTGGGGGCCAAGACATGACTTGAAAGTCACTGAAATGTTCCTCTACGATTCGACCCTTATGATATGGTGCATTATCCTGTTGGCAAACACTGTCCCCCACAGGAAAAACTGTTGCCATGAATGGGTGAACCTGGTCTGCAACTACGTTCAAGTAGTAGCTTACAGACGTCAGGGATTGTTCTATGAGGATTATGGGTCCTAATGTGCCCTATGAAGACATTGTTCCTGGGCGGGAAACCATGACAACCTGGGCGAGTCCATTGTTATAGATGGAGGGTGGTCATAATGTAACGGCTCTTCGGTGTATATATATATGACTAGTAAAAGAATACAAAGCATAAAATTCCATAATAATAGAACTTTCTATGAAAGAAACGCGCCTAAAAGCAGCAGAATTTTTAAAAGAATGAATAATTGAAGCAATAAAATATAAAACAAAGGAAATAAAATAAAAATATGGCCACCGAAGACGACGTCTTTAGGGGGTACCAGCTCCGGAAGGCATAGAACAAAACCTTTTCTATTGAGATATGTTTTATATATGTCACCATCGTGTAAAATAAAACTGTGAAAAATTCGCGAAAATGTCTTCAGCGAAACCTAATTAAATTAGATCAGAAGAAGGACATATCGCTGACCGAACACAATCCAAGCACAGTTTGGGGGTAAAGTCATGTTCAATATACATTCTAAATCAAAAAAGTACTTAAATCGTTGGATAAAGAACAAAAAAAAAGATTTATACTTACTTTGAAGGAAAGCTCTAAGTTTTCTCCGCCCCATATATCGAATCCACTGTCATATGTTCCAAGTCTTTCAAAGAATTCTCTATTGATAGCAAAGAGTCCTCCGGCCATAGTTGGAGACCTGAAAGAAAATTCAATAAAATTGCAAAAGCTGGTTTTCTTGTTTCATTAAAATCTGATCGAAATAACTAGAAATAAAGGATTGACACTGATAAGGAAGAATGAAAAATTTTATTGAATTATTGATTTTATATAAAGGGGATGGTCAAATGTATGGAAACACTTCTATACTAACTCATTTTTTCATATTTCTCTAGAAATACGTCGAGAATTATTTCATAGCCTCAGAAGAGTTTTTATTATGTAATTTCTCATAAGTATCAATGAAGTTTGCAGCTTTAAAATTTATAGCAGTGATAAGTTACGAATGAAAAGGAGTGTTTTTTAACATCCTATTATAAGAAATATAGCAATTAGATTGTAACTTGGAATAATTATTTTGGCTATTTATGTAAACCTATAGCTTCTGTTTACAATATGTAATAGATGCTTTCATTCTTCATTTTTATCTTTCACTGTCTATAAATATCCTAGTCTATCCTTGTGTACAAATGTAGTATAATAATATTAAAATCAAAGATATCATTTATACAAACATATTGTTATTGTTCAATAAGTTAAAATTTAACATACGCCGAAGAAAAACGGGTGCAAACAAGAAATGAAAGAAAATTTGAACAAGTGTTTGATTTATACTTCCAAACGAAATTCCAATCAGACATATTTCCAATTGATATATTTTGCTTTGGCTATTTTAATACAATATTAGAAAGCACTCCTTTTTGCAGATATAATCGTGTGAGCTGATGAAAATATTTTTTTTTCCAGAATTTTATTTATTGCTTTTCCTTTTTTCCCGGCTTCTTGTTACTTTTTATTTTTATTATTATTTTTCTTTTTCTCCCTTTTTTCATTGTTCTGTAATTTTTTCCATGTTCTTTCTGCATTTTGAACTTATTTTATGAGTTCTATTTACTTGCAACTTATGCGCAATAAATAGAACTTATTGATTTTCTTAATTTTCTTCGTGTTTTTTTTCGTTTTGTCCTTTTTGTATTTATTTATTGTGCTATAGAATACTTTTAAAAAATGAAATCAAGAAAGTATNTACTAGATAAACTGAATATATATTAGCACAATAATATGCACTAGGTTAATTTTTAAATGTAGTTTAATTCAACTCCAATAAAGATTACATTTGTAATAATACACCATCGTTTATTTTCGTTCAAATATCTAAAGAGGAATTGTGGGAGGTATTCATTCAAATTCCTTTCATGCGATGAAGAAGAAAAGGAAGAGTAATGTCAGCTCGGAAGGTGGATGTGGGAGACTAGTCACATGGTCTGGGAGATGGTGAATATCTGAATATGAATGTTAATACAAATCCCCGTCTTGAGAAGGATTCTTGTTCCGAAACATAAAACAAACTTTCAGAAGAAAAGCATATCTCGTGTTCCTCCCTATTCATATACTTTCAAAAACACAAACCGAACGGATATTTTCAACGTTTTAGTTGAGACATGAGAAGCATAAGAGCCACGTAGTTGGGGAATGTCAAAATATATATTTTCCGCATTTTTCAGAAACATTTTATTTTGAAATAAAAATTCAGTAGTAATGTAGAAATTATAAGACTTTTATGCGAACTTTAGAAGTTAAAATTAATCTCTGAAATATATATATTTTTAAAAATTATAAAAACTACGACATTTTAACAGAATAATATATGATTGTGATAATAATTTCATACAATCACAGCGATTAAAATTTCGCATGACCAATTATCCAAGTAATTCTGAAAGTGTAAATTATGATATCGTGCTGATTTTAAATTAATAGAATAAATTTATAGTTACAGAATAATTTGTAATTATATAAATTAATAGAATAAATTTATAGTAAAAGAAATTAAGGCTACAGAACATTGAGATGTATTCAGATTAATTTTTCTTTATTTATCTATAAAGGGGGAAAACTGAACTACCCTAAACATTATATAAAATCGAAACAAATTTATGGTTTATTTTTCTTTGCTTAATGTATTTATAGAAGAATGCAGTATTTAACTATTCAGCCTGTTTTTCTAGTAATGGTATACAACAATAAAAAAACTATGGAATTGTTTCTTTATTGAGGGCATAATTTCCGATTCAATGCTTTTTTTGTTACTATTCCCCATTATTAATTTTCAGAGATCTCATTCTTAGTTATGATTCATAATAAAATATAATTCCCAAATAAATTAACTTAGAAAACCTCAAGATCAAATATTATTTTTTTTACAACAACTGTAATAAGTTGTGGTTTTCAAAGTCACATTAATCACGCTTTTCTTTTCCTTTTTTTATAACAATTTTTTGAGCTTGAATTTGAACACTGCTTGTAAGTTAGCTACTTATCATTTATGATTTATTGCATCAATTGACGCATTCAAATCAGGTACTTTAACTGATTGTTTTAAAATAACAAGTGCCTACGCACTTACCAACTCAATGCAGGCTGAAAACCATGCATTGAGTATTTTTGAAAAATATAGTCAAACCTTACTTAGGTGAAGTCAAATGGTATAGAATATCTTTTCGTATAAACCAAAATTCATAAAGATCAATAAAACAACGCAACGCATTTCTTTTTCTTTTTTTTTTGTTTAAAAAAATAAATATTGAAACAAAGAAAACAAAAGATAAAAATGGTACCTGTAATGAAATATCCTATGGTCATTTTAAGTTAATCAGTATTTTGCACTAAAAATTATATATCTCTAATAAACATCACTACAACTACACAAATTCCTACACATACAGATACGCACATGACGGCAGTATATATACAGTAATATTCTTGTAAAAATTCATCAACGTTCTCTCATAACTATCAACGTGTCAGAAACCATGCGAAACCCTTACCGAATGACAATCGCAAAACAAAATCACCACCAACAAGGTCAGTGCCTAGCTTCTCACCATCAAAGGACTACGTGCCCACGTGTGTTCAGTAGAAAACTCAGCTAATTTCAGATTGAAGAGAATTAACGACGAACCCGGCAGTAGTTCCAGGAATAAATGCTCTGTCCTCGATCGTCCAGCTACTAGATAAACTGATTGATAATGATGTTAATGCGCCATGCCAGAGTTGGAAAAAATAACAAGTTGCCACATAGATATATCATTTAATAGGTGTGCCAACAGATATAATATTATATAATACCTCAAAATAATCTTAGAGTTTTAAGGTGTCCTAGATATAGTTTAATTTCAGAAAATATATGGTTCTTTATGTCCAGTTAATACCAGTTCGTACCACTCTTTTTTTGACAGTGCTTCCTAACAAACAAACTAGACATATTCCCTTTTGAATCTCAAAGGAATTTAAAACTTAGTAAAGAAATGAAAGCCAAAATAAGTGAGCGATTCGTAGAACAGGACAAATAAGTAAAGAAAATTTCTAGAACACGTAAATCCGGAACCACACTTATTTTCGAAAGACCCCAAAAAGGAATATCTCAATTTATCAACGTCTGTGTAGATCGTCTTTTTAGTGTTGGTTGTTGATAGTAAGAAATCAGCCAAAGGGGTGTCTCTTTTTTATGCTTTTTTTTCTTTTCGGAAATACACGCATTGGCACTAAAAGAACGGAAAATAAGATTAGAAAGTTTCCTTCTTAGAAAATTTCTTTTCGTCTCTTAGGTGTTGGTCAACGATGTTTTAGGTTTAGTGACAAGGGGATGGTTCTATTAATGAATGGTTTTCAGATGTATTGAGCTATTTTTTCTTCCGGAAAATATCTTTTATTTCCTTTTATTTCCTTAAAAAAATGTTATATGTAAAATCGGAAAATTTAGGGGGAAGTATAACTTAAAATTTGAGAAAACGTAATTTTTCTTTAAACATAAAATACTCTTAAAAATCAGTTCCACTGTTGAATGCCATACAGACAGTGAAATAACAGGTGCACAGTGCGCCTAAAAAACGGGGGACCATACCTCCCAGATTGCAACTACCCCTATATTTTGGGGGTCAGAAATTTGACTACTTCGGAAAAAAAGCCTGTTTATTCAGAGAAAGTGAGTTTTCGTCTTTGATTTCGTAATTTAAAATATCACCTGCCCATATTGGTTAGCAAATTTGAGGTCATCCCCTCGACCCAATAAGATTGAGTCCAAGAACGAGAAATTCGGTCATAAGATCAAAAGTTATTCAGGGTGGTCCGTTTTTTTTCGTTCTGTACACAGTGTAAATTTAATACAGCCTCTTTTAAATTTAAATTGAACCCTCTACTCACTCAAATTGAGCTATAGCAACATGTTATCAAGTATCAAAAGTACGATAATTTTGCTCAGCGTCATATTAAAGTTGCTGACAACTTGAACGATGTTATCGTTCAACATTCGAAAAAAACTCTAACAGTAAAATCGAAAACAGAATTTTTGCACTCTTTTTTTTTCAAGTTGAAACAAAATTAGACATGAATAAAGAAACTTTGTGATGATATGTTCTATCAGAAAAACTAGAACTGTGGAAATAATAACACAAGAAAGACGGATTAGAGCTTCTTGATCATTCTCCCTTTTTGTTACTCTCTAATTTAGAAAAATACTTACTGAAAGAATTGAGTATTTCTGACTTTTCTTATTTTGATACAATTTAAGTGCCTATATAATCATTCATGTGTTAGCCTTCTAGGAACGTAGATACAGGGAGTCCATAGGAGCAAATTTTAAAGCGAGGTAGGGGAAATCACAAGGATCAAAGAATTGCATAGCAACCCATGACTGGAAACGTCATGAGAAATGGTACGACAGGTGCAAAAAACAAATAAATACAAGACTGAGATCAGCTGAAATATTTATGGATTAAAAATTATAGCATGTGCTGTGATAAATAATATTTGAAAATCTTACAAAAGGGGTTCAAAATATCCATCATTGTTGGCGATGCGTGCGTTACTCCCTCGGGCCAAGGATTGGAGAACCCGCTCAAATACATCTGGATTTTGTTGAATATTCGCAGCAGCATGAACGATTCCTGAAACCAGATCAATTTTGGAATTTGCAGGTGCCAATGAAAGAAATCCATGCTGCTTAAGTTAGGAGAGTGTGGTGGCCAGAGAACCGATCAACCACACCCAATACATCTTTTGAACAACGCCACCTTGCCGCGAACGAATACTTCTGACCATGGGTTGCTATGCGAATCTGAATCCTTGTGATGCGCCCTACATCCCCTTAAAGTTTGTTCCAATAATTCTGGGGACACAATGCATAGAACCTCATATTCATAATCACGTAATGGACTAGATCAGACCAGGGCTAAAGAGAATAATAGAAGGGCTAGTTCACTCTGCTCTTAGAGCTGAAGCTACGACTTCCCTCCTCATGACGTCACTGTGTCCACAGATCTCGGAGATCACAAGCAAAGATATGATAACTTTACATCTTTCTCTTTGTAAAAATAAGTTATACTTTTTCTGGTTATATGTCTTCAAACTTTACGTAATTAACACATTATTTCCGTTCATAAACATAGTTAAAAAAAAAACTTTCTTGGTTATTATATTAAAAAAATACCATTTTAAACTTAAAAAAATGCTTTGCTAGTTGGTGAAAATAACACGATAAATACTTTATTTTAAAAAGTTCAGTTTTAACTTTAACTATTAAGAAAAATGAAGGCATATATCGACACTTTTTTTATCTACATATTCTTTTATAACGATAAGTTAAGTTAAATTTAGAATCCCTGATTTTAAAATATGTCGTTAATAGCAATTTGTTCATACTTAATCATTAGGAAACATCAACCTTAAACGCTAATTACTGAAACAAAATAATAATTTAGGTTCATAATGACATTAGAAATTTTACAATTGTTTATAGACATTTAAATTTACGATGATATAATTTATAGATATTTAAATTGAAGAGAATATAATTTTTAAAAAAAATCATAAATATTTAGAATAACTACATTAAAAAATATGTTATGAAATTAGGAGAATTTCAACTATATACTATATATTTTATTTATACTTTTTACTTACATTTTAATTTTCTTTGACTTTATCTATTTTTTAATTCTTTTCACCTGCCTTTCTTTATGAAGTAACGAGGCGGTTTCTATTTAGATAATGAATTTTTATAAAAGTTCTTTACGACAGAATAAACGTATTGCTGTTTTATATTAACTGTGTCATTTCGGAATCCATTCTTTACATAGTTGTTCATTTACTTTAGGGAACACGCGAAAAATTATACTTTTTCCTTTTGTTTTTATATCAGAATTTTTGCAAGTTGCAATCGCGCAAACTGGCATTTCGATAAATAGAAAGCATATCTTTTTCTTCACTGCAAAAACTGAGGAAAGTCATTATAGAAAATAACAAATGTCTTAGAATATCTCGCACAAATAAATGATCCAATATTAGTTAGAGCTAGTAAGACCAAACGCTCCGTTCTTGAAGTAAAAGTGCGAGCTTTGCGCCAAAGTGACGTCACTAGAGTGACGTCGGAGGATCGGCGCGGCGAGAGATACTTCAAAGGAGTGAACCAGCCCTTCTATTCTCTTTAGCCCTGAGATCAGACCCTAAGGTATTTTGGCATGTACTCCATAACTATTGGTAGGTTTGGTTATAAAGTAACCTTTGGTAGCTGTAAGGTGTCCTAGATCCATTAAAAAAGGAGAAGTATTTCAACGTATTTTTATTATTTATAGCTCAATTATTTAAGAAACTAATGTATAAGCGATATGTCGGCTCTATCGTTTATTTCATCATATATTTTAATTAACCAAGTTGAATAAAGTACCATAGGATTTTGATGATTGAGTCTGTAATAATTATTGTTATTAACTTAATTATGATAGTAGTTTAAGTTTTCGGATGTCTTATTGATCTACTCACAAAACACAAGGAAGGACAACACTGGCCCTTTCAGACTTTCTACGCACGCAACAATGTTCAGTCTTCCTAATGTTAATATTTTTTACTTTATTTTCAAACTGAGTTCTCTAGATGCTTAAGTACTGGATAAAAACCTGACTAGGATCTGTAATTAATTTTACGTTTTATTTTCACTAGGCCTTAATTTTGTTTTCAATTAATTCGATATGTGTGCTAGTGAAGAAAAACGTACGAAGGAAATCAATCTATCAAGGTGAAGGAAATCATACTAAGTTCTCTTCTGTTCATAAAAAAATATTGAATCTATCTCATTAATAAAACTCTTCTTCTTTTCGTATTTTTGAATTATCGCTCCTTCGGACAGAAAATGTGAGACTGGCTGCTGCTATGGAAACAAAAGTAAAACCATTTCAAATGGGGAAAAACTGTAAAACTCTTCCAGTTTAAACCAACATGGAACGGTTGAATCCATATCCTTATTTGAAATTATCAGAGTAGCAACCAGTACGCTAATCAAGTGTCGGGAGGAGTTTTTGTGACAGCCGGACAATGGCTAGCAGAACGACTTTTAATTCTAACATTTCCAAATGTAAGAATATTTCATTTTTTAGATCACCCTCCAAATCACTTTATTCTTTTATTGTAAACAGAAATTATAGCTTTTTTAAATTTTTATAATATGAACTTCAACATACATAACTTGTTTTTGTGAATATAATGTTGCCTTATAGCTGTTCGTAAGTTGAAAGTTAAATTATGTACACGTGGCTGTGGAATAAGGCTTCAAAATGAAACAGCAAATAATACGTACGAAAGGTATCAAGAGTCTTTTAAGAACATTTGACATCGAATGCTATCCGGAGCAGCAAGAGAATCCTTTATATTATATGCTTATATATCATAGAAGGGTCATACTGACCAATTTTCTAGCACCGTCATCTTATCTGACTCTAAAGCAGCATTTCTTGATATTAATTCTCCACTAATTCCCCAATCCATCTCCATTCAGAAATGCACTGAATGTCTGAAAGACCTGACACTAAAAGGCAAGCAAATCTTCCTCCAGTGGATCCCGGGACATTGCGGGATTTGGGGTAATGAAAAAGCTGATTTCTTGGCCAAGAAAGGAACAACTATTGCCCAAGCATCTCGTTGCTCCATCTCTCTGCACTCATTTAAATTGCTGGTCCGAAACCAATTCCCGAACATGCTCTCAGAGAATTTCCATGAAAGCAATATACACAAAACCTGGTTCAACCATATTTTAACTATCCCTAATCAGCCCAGGTTTAAGGCAGTTGCTCTCTTCAGACTTGTAACGGGCCATGACTGTCTGGCCAAACACCTTTTTAGTATAAACATTTTTGACTGTCCTAAATGCAAGCTCTGTCGCTTTGGAGAGGACATGGATCTGCCCCATATTTCCGTCTGTCCTGCCCTTATCTCCACTACTGTGTGTGGACGCTACTGGGAGGCTAGGGCCCGTATGGGCTAAGCATATCACTTTGCATTCTATTCTATTTATCTCTTTTTGTCTTGTTTCTCTTGTTATTTTATCCTTTTTGTTCCTTTAAATTGGCCTGCCATTGGAAATAAATAGAAAATTTTGCAGAAGGGCACGCATACAACATGCTTGAGTGCTGAGTATGAATAAAATACTTTCGAATGATTCTTTTGTATAATACCTTCGCATATTACGTATGATTGCAGCCTGTGTACAAATAGATTCAAGTGCATATTTTTACTCACCACACTGGCTCCCAATGGTTTTTTCTTCTTTGCATTTCTCTTTCGGGCATAACGTGCCAATTGAACTGTAAGTTCCAATCAAATCCTCCCACGTTAACTTCTCCAGATTCTCGGAAATAGTACTGAAACGTATCGTCATCAATGACGTCAATCACCGGACAAACTACAGTCGTCGCATTATTGTGAATTCTTTGAAGTAAGGGTTCTAACCAACCTGAAATGCATAAGAAATAATCTGGATCAACTTGCTCACATTTTTAACGTCAAAATATGTTTATTAGTTGCAATATTATAACAATAACTGATAAAATGTAATGCTAATAATATTGCATGTATGGGAAAGTCCTAAAACAATATAATCCAAAAGTATGAGTTTTCCTAAATAATGTAAGATCGATGAAAGTTTTCTTTTAATTTTTTTTTACAATTATTATTTTACAATTATTTTTTTACTATTATTTTTTTTAGGATTATTTTTTTTACAATTGCAATTAGAATGACATATAATAACGCTTTGTCATTCCGTTATCAAAAGAGCAAATGTGTTGACCAATCTTCAGCACCATATTAGGTAAATCACCGTTATCCCCACAATAAAAAAAACATATAGTAAAGAAAGAAGAAGCAACGAATATCCATGCCTCTGACAGAGATTCAAACCTGGGACCTTTCTAACATGAGGTCAGCTCCTTGACCAGAATGTAGGCAGCTCAGTAAATCAATTAAATTAATTTCTAGAAAAACATTTTGACATCTTCATGTAATCTTTTGCAGTTACTATCCAATCCAGTTCAATGAGGATATTTCTATGGTCAAAATGCCATATTTCTTTTAGCAGTTAGGAAATATGTTTTTTTCGAATGTGTAATGTAATAATAACTGTAATAATATAAAATGTAATATAATGACATGTATGTAATGTAAAACTTTTTTTGTATTGTTCAAAATGTTAAAAAAATAGCCTCAGTCTTACAAAACAGTAATGCGTATTTCAGACTTAGTAATACAAGTTACTCAAATATTTTAATACAAATCACTACTTTAAAAATCATAAAAAATGTGGTCTTACAACTTAAACGAAATAACAGTAGTTTAAAATATAATGTTAGAGATAGTTTGTATTGATTACCAGGTGCACATTCACAGTGAGAGTCCAGATAGGTCAGAACTGGTGCTTTGGCTACAGCTGCACCCATAAGACGAGCTCGAATTAATCCTTCTCTCTTCCTAGCTCTAACTATTTTCACTTTTCCTAACGTTTCAGCATAGTCTTCCAACGCTTTCCCTAAATGAGCTGAAATGAAAAGAAAATTTTTATTTTAGACATTTAAATATATTAATATTTTTTATAATGCAATGTTTAAAACGAAAAATATCAACTACCCACTTAGATATCAAGTAAGATCTTAATGGGTTTTATATCTTATTTTCATATTGTTATAAAGTTAATGTTATGCGCGAGCTGCAGACGATAATATTTCAGAAGAATTTGTACAAAACTATATCCTTTCTAAATGGCAAAAAGTAAAACATGAATTCCTGGTCTTTTATACTGACTATTGGTATTGTTTTTATCAGAAATTCCGAAAAATAGCTTGATTTGAAAATTTTCAACTATTCAAGCCAAATTGAAGAGAAAGGAATTGAAAAATTATTGTATTTGATTTGAAATCTGAGCAATAAAAATGCCTCTTCATATTATTATTATTATTATTGTTGTTATTATTATTATTATTATTATTATTATTGTTATTATTATTATTATTATTGTTGTTATTATTATTATTATTATTATTGTTATTATTATTATTATTATTAACAGATTAGGGTAACAGATCGACCATGTTTATCTCAACAGACGTTATGAATATGATACAAAGCGTATCATTATTCTTAAAAAAATACTTGTTTTTTTTTTAAATGTATATTTTTAATTATTGCCTTTTATGACTCATTGCTGCATATTTCGAAAATTTGGAAGATAAATTTCGCGAGTTTTGGCCCATGAGAACTTTATGGAATGCCCTCGCGGGGTGAGTGGGTTTTAAACAGTACATCTAAGATACACATTTATATAAATTAATTGAAACAGTGTAAATGGTTTTAGAAAGTTTAATCATATGACATTTGCAATCCGTAGAAAATTATGAAATATTCAAAGAACATTGCAGTGTAAAAAGGAACATTATCGAAACACGAGGAAAGTGTTTAATCCGAAAGTATTGTAAATAAGAAGGTATTTCAATATTCAGTGTTTAGACATCAAAAAAGGTGCTTCAATAGAGTACAGACATGGTCATATGTTTGTTTAGTGTAGAATCTGTGTTTTCCTCACGCTGTTTTAACTTGGCCCAACTGCAGTTCGAATTTGAAATAAGTAAAAATCTTAAAATCATTCATGTTGAATTAAACTTTCTTAAAATTTAATAAAACTATGTAGAATGCTTTGAAATTAACTTTTTATAGTGAAGTGTAACATAGCAGGCCACCACGAGGTGTCCTCTTGGTAATGCTAAATCTGCTACAGCACTGTTACTTCTCCAGTGTTTATCATGTGCTTCTTTAGACTTTTAACTGGAAATGACTATCTGAGGCCTTAACTATTTAGTATCGGCGCACCCGATTCACCTGACAGTTCTCTTTGTGACTCTGGTCTTCCCTTGCAAAAATCTAACGTCTTTTTGAGGTTTAATTGATATTGTTTTGAGGTTTGTTCGAAGTTGACCTCAAAAACAACTTTACAAATCCAAACACTTAAGGCGTATAATAAAGGTGTATGAAGTTGTTTTATTTATAAGTGAAGTAGTTTTGAGGTTGATGGAAATCTATTTTAAAGCAACCAGTTCAGGGAAGTTGTTTTTTAGATGCCTAGATCATTTTTTAGTCACTTCAAGCAACTAAGTATATTTGAGATGTGAATAATTTCACTCGATCTCAATGAAAAGATTCGCTGAGCTATACATGGATATTAATTTTATGAGGTTTAAATGAGGTTTAAAAAGTTTATTAAAGTTTATTAATGAGGTTACTTTGGTTCTAAGCATAGCTTAATTACCTCAGGTGTATTCTATTTTATTTTATAACCGACCGACTCATATAACCGACTGAAGTGGCTGACTTTTTGCATAATATTTGCTTTTCATGATCATGGATTTTATTTTATAACCGTTGTTGAACAGCCGACCAAAATTTTGGGTTTACGGCTACTAACGTTCAACTTCGTAGCCTTGTAACTTTGAACCCAATCTAGAAGACAAGAGAACTCTCGGATCAAATATTTCGAGACATTTGCTTTTTTGGAAGTCTTCTTGATAGAACTAACCCGCATTTACGTTACAGGAGGGGGGAGACCACGATAATCTCCCACGGTTAGCCTGACGGCAAAGGGACTCTGACCCACGATCCGTATACCACTGAGGATATTTCACTCCAGAACTGTGATCGGTGCAAGCCGGATGCGGATTCGTATCGACCAGACATCGCTGGAATTCGAACCCGGTTCACCTTATTGGAAGGCGAACGCTCTATCCCCATCGCGACTCAAATGTTATGCATAGTCCGGTAATCCTCAGATGTATTTATGACATCTGTTGACCTTAAAACAACCTAAAAAGCACCTTACTTTTTCGTAAGTGTTCTTATGACTGCTGAACACTTAGACGTGTGCCCTGCTCTTCTGAATTTTAACCGTACAATTGAAAAACATAGGAGGACTCATGCAGTAATGACATAGGTGCTTTTGTTTCTTAAAGTGTGCCATATTTTCAAAATACTTTTCATAATTTATCTAGAAAAATATTCATATCTCGTATGACAAAAGAATAATAACGCATCATTTATGATCAAATGACATAAAATTCATTAATTAGAACAAAGCAAAATATGGTGGCAATCGAGAAAAAAATTCCTCATTGAAAATTTTACGATTTATTCAAATGATTCAAACACATTCTGATAATAAAAACGAACAAAAAACTTAAAATCGATTCCCCTTTAACCCAACTTAACTTGTTAACTATTCAGGATAAATTTCCTGTAATGTTTACGATAAGTAATCATTAAAGAAAACTTTTACTTTGAACTTTCAAAAGTAACGATTTCTAATAGTTTAAGTAATACGGGAAGATAAAATACAAATAATATTTGACATCAGTTCATATGAGATGTAAGTATCTTTAATGGATTTTCATTACAGCAAATAATAATTATTGTATATGTAATAGTTAATAAATCGTGAATTATGATATAAATGGTTGAATGATAACATATCAAATAACCGATATTTACTAATTTAATATTTAAGATTGGTATGATTTATAAATTTTAAAACATTTATTTATTTAGAATTTAACATCAAAATTGTTCACAACTGAATACAGATTTATGCAACATTTTTATTTTACCTCAAAATTTTCAACTTAAAAAACTTTAAATTTAGTTTTTAATTTGGCAAGAATTCTTTATTCAGAAATATAAATCACTGCATTTGATTTTGATAGGGGAATACAAAGTAAGTACTTGAGTATTTTCAAACATTCAGGATTCAGGAATATTAAGGAGTATTTTCAATACCGAAAGAGAAAGCAATGAGGTCTACTCCCAAACTTTTTAGACAGTTAAGAAGAGAAATTTAATGTTGAAATATCAGAGTATTGAAAAGAATGAATGAACGTTGTTGAAGAAAAGAATCTTTGCAAATAAAGATGGGTTATTCTTAAAATTCCAATTGCTATTGGAGTATCCATTACAGAGTTTCGAGAATTTCCTTAGGGCTGAAAGGTTGTTTTCCCATTTCTGAGAAGGCAAGTTTACCATGGCAATTGGTCTAATAACTCTTTTGTCTTCGGAATCATGCTTAAAACTAAAAAATAATGGTAGTAAAAGCACTTTGCATAAGTACACTTTTGTAAACTAACTGCTTATCAATGATAACTAAAAAAAAAAATTAAAAACAATAATTACCAATGCAAAGAAACGGAAAAAAATTATCCCAAAATTTGTTTATTTAAATCAGAATATTTAAGAAACAGGATTAAAGAACTTACAAAGTCAATGAAATGAAATCAAAATTAAATTATTGAAAACTAAGATGTAGTAAAAATGAACTGAATCTTTATTTATTTAAGAAAACATTGCTAGGAGATAGGCACAAATGAACTTAAAGTTTGTTTATTTGAAACTATAGTGTTGTGGAATGGACAAAAATTAACTCAAAATCTATTTGTTCTAAACTATAAATTTCAGAAATGGGTAAAAATGAACTAACATCACTATTTATTATTATATTATTATTATTAAATTATTTATAAACACTATTTGACTAGGTGAAAATGAACTCAAATTTTTTTTTCATTTAAAATTACAAAGTACCGTGAATAATAAACTAAATTACTTCATCCGTTAAACAATATTATTGTAAGTATTAAAAAAGACGATAGTTTGTATGCCTGAGCTCTTAAAAAGAGCACGGCAATCAATAAAGTCTTATAGGATTTTTTAAAAAAAATTTAGAATTCTTATCGAATATTGTTCTCGTAATTCATCTAACAACCTATTATATAATATTAAAGTATTTTTTCTTCATATTTAACTACTTATATTTACTTTTCATAAACAATTTCTGAAGAAAATCAACTTCCTTTCAAAAATATCACTTTCGCATCAAAATGAAGAAAAACACGCTTTTTGTAAATGTCTCTGGGGTAAGCAAGAAACGAAACTTAGCTAATGGACCTGGAACAGCTAAAAGTAACAAAACAAAGGAGAAAATGCAAGAAAATTGGCTGGAAATATACGAAGAGTGAGGTAAGAAAAAAGTAAATAAAAAAATCGGCAAAATGAAGAAAAAAAAATAGGGCTATGAAAAAATGATTAATATCGATAGAAGTGCTGTTATTGACCTACGGCTGTCAAGAAAAAGAAAGGTGAAAACTTTGGAAAATAATAGGAAGTTAGGGATTGGATGGAAAGCAAAACCACCTTTTTCACCCTCTTCCCTCAAATCTTCATTTTCCATTAAGGAATGAATTTTTTTTTTTTTTTTTTGGGGGGGGGGGAGAAGAATTTCCGTTTTCAATATCATATCTCGGTAATTGGCGAAAATAGTTTGAGAGCATAATGAAAATATTGAAAAATTTAAATTCCTTGTGCACTTTACATCAGAGGAAATAGTTTTTGTATTACGTTGAGGCTATTTATTCAAAATATTATATTTATTATTATAATTAAATATCATATAATATTTTTATAATATTTCTTAATTTTCAAAATCCTCTGGGAAAAAATGGAAAAGAT